AAAGCGGAGCCAGTAAGCAAACGAGGCTTTCTTTGCCACTGTGCACCCGTGTACATATGTGTCCGTTACAGACGTCTTTAATCGCCAAATGATCAGCTCCGAATATTCCGTCGCAGGTACCTATGATTAAGGGACATCAAACTAGATTTAATGAAGCCAAAGGAATTTCTCAATACGATTATCATTAACTACCGATTCAACGAAATACTCGATCAATATCAGTTAGTATATATCTTGCAGTCATTTTAACCTACGATAACTGTGTTATTGGCAGGTATAGACAAATAAACACATTTTACTATACTGCCAGTGCGGTATCTATTTTAGGGAGTAAATCGGGCATTTGTACATTATGTTTAATGTATTTTGTTCCATCCTTTGATGGGAACAACTTTACACTACGTGGATATTTTATTTCAGGTGGACCAGCTGCCTTCTATTCGCATCCGAAATCACTAACTTTATTTGAATATTATCGTTTAAATGAAATTCGGTAGTCTAGCACCTCTTGTAGAGGAACCTAATCAAATTTTCATGTCCTATTCTACCTATTCATCGCTTCAGTTTCAGTAAATGTTAACTGCTAGAGCTCATATATTTTGTGACCGCTGCTGTAAACGGTAGATTGCCAGCTTCATATTAGATTCGTTTATTTATGTGTAGAAGATAAAAAAAATCATTTAGAGCGCTAGCAATAAAAGGGAGTAATAAATAAAAGGGCATTTTGGTTGCCTTAGTGTTAATCAAAAGCTTACCCGGATCGCTGCATACTTGAAGGATACCGCTGCATCGAGAAAACTTGACCTATAACAATGGCTGTATCCCAATTCTATGGCCTAGTTTACCAGGTCATTCTTAGTCCATTAGAACTAGGCCGTTAACCGGAAGGACGCTGGAGTGCCCACTGCAACAGAGGACTAAAGCCTTAAAGCAAAACGATATATGGCTCGAACGTTAGCGTCTCACCTTTAATCTCGGTCGCCATTCTCAAAAACCAGAAAACGAGACGGCTTCACTCCGAAAAGATTCTGAGACAGAAAAGCTATTCGAACCATGTCAACTATTATGTCTCAGAGACATCATCAAAACCCAGACCAATATCTCTGATCGTTCTGTCGAAACTTAATTGGTGAGAGAAGTTGTTCGAGTAGCGTCATTAGTTCGCTGTTATCGACATCACCAATTGTATATCGAGTTAAATATTCGTTAGTGGACGTACAGAGTGAATGACGCGCTGAATCAAAAGGCCCACTTAATTGAGACACGAATAGCAACGGTAAGATGGCTTAGAGGAGGGTGAGTTCTGACATGAAAGCACTGCCGTGGGTGGTCCTCTGGCTTGATGTGCGACAGCTCAGTCGGCGCCTGAATAGCAGTTTCCGAACACTCGACCTCTGCTCTCATGGCAGTGATGTCAACTTGTCAAAAGCATTACAGCGGGCAATTATAGGTTAAACCCATTCGGTAGACCCAGTATTCTATTTATGACCCCATACAGCGATGAAGGAGCAGAATGACAAAGAAAAATTTGCCCAAAATATAATTTACCTTGCATCTGGTTGAGCTAAGCGGCCTGAAGAGTATCCATTCACACATGGCTTATGACAATAATCATAACAGAAGTATCGGTGATTTTAATAGTACTGACAAAGAGTGTTAACGTTGTATCAAATTGTGCTGGTTCCTGCCAGATGCCGGTATCATACATATTCTTTTGACCATATACCATGCTTATATCTGGTTAGTCCAATCGATCTGAAATGCAAAAAGAATCGATCCTACAAAAAAAAGTTATTTCAATATGTCTCCGTTTATGTTAAACTAAAAATTGGACCGCGTTAAAAACAATTTCGTGCAATAAAACTGTAAAAAAAACTTGTTAAGAAGTGACTGGCTCTTTTTGAGACAAATGAAGCACTTGGTTTTGCCTGAATTTACCATAGCACCGCTGCAGCCATCATAACAAGCTCAATCAGATGGGCACTTTTTTTCTTATAGGGTGCCTTGTGGTCAGCACTCATGTGTTTAGAACTTATTAACTTGCGAGCCAAGCTAGAAGCTAATCGAAATTAACGAATCTAACATCGCTTCCAATAGCCACATCTTTAGCTATAACATAAGAAAACCTTCCAGTGAAGAGAATGAGCAATCATTCTTGACCTTCATCGAATATGAGTCATCTCCATTACGCCACAGTTTTCCTCGTGCGGCGTACCTTCTCTCGATGCTCTCCCCTGGCGTGGCTCTAAAGTTATCCCATCTCCATGATCGTTGCATAAGCGGCATGCCAATGGAAGCCATTGGTTAACTTTGGATGTTTCCACCGGCTGCAGTGAGCGCTGTCCTGCTTTCAACGTCCAACCTGTACGACAGCCTGCGATTCTCCAGGCTAAGCTACCGTCTTGCACTAACCGGCCAGGGCAAGTCACCGCTGGCCACCATGGGTTAATATTGATGATATACTGGAATAATTCATTGCAGAGGCGGAGCGCTGGCAGACATCAAAATGGTTAACCAATACAATGCCATTCTTCGTCAAGGCTGTCGACTGGCTTATCTGACGTGATGTTGGGCCGGATGTGCTCAGAAAAGAGTTCAGAGCGCTTTTAGGGAAGGCTATGTGAACGTGTCTGGGTCGGATAATAGTGAGATAATGCTTAGCTTATTGGTGAACCTGTAACTAATCAAATGCCTCGCTCTCTTGGCAAAGGACATGGTGCGCGTGGCATTATTACCACCGTCAATAGTCTATACGCTGAGCTGATTTTAAGCTGGGGTGGTTCATGGACCACTAGAGCTGCATAGGGTTTTGGCTGGCACACCGCATTGCGAGATTGCGTCAAAGCGTGTGAACAGTAGCAGCAGAACATGAGTCCTAATGTCGTCTTTCCATATGACGGTACCAGAATTACTGTAATCAGCGTGGGCCGGAGTCCAGCGAAGAGCCAAGAAACGTAGGCTGAGAACACCTGCTTGCGCGATATGGATTTTACACCTACACAGTGTCACTTAATGCCTTCAGACCTGAAAGATACAGCGTTTGCCGAAAACCTCCAATGTAGATTACGACTTAACAGGCCACCGCGGCTAGCAGCCAGTGAGTTTATTGAAAACAAGTAATGAAAAAGAGTGGAACTACAAAGCCTAAGACTAAAGACAATCAAGAACAAAAGTAATAACTTACAATTGTCGCAGCCGCCGCTGCAATTGCCAACTGACTTGTCGGCGTTTGTCATGCGTTGCTTACCGGTGAAACCCAAATTTACGCGATGAAGCACGTGTTATTATACTAGTGACATTCTCAAAAAAGGGAAACTAACAGATGTCGACGGACCAAACGGTAGCAGTAATGGCACTATTTCGAATTTGTTATCTGGTGGTAACGGCCAAAATAGGACATTTACTTGTAGGATAAAGCTTTCCTAAAAATCCTTACACGGTCTCTCATAAGTATAGATCACACAGTTGTTGCCTGTCAATTAGCTAATTATGTTTTTCAGCTACATATTCATTTTTTTTTTTATTTTCTGCAAACCGAGTTCTCTTCCATGCATATGTGGATATCATAAATTCATTAAGGCGAGGCAGAGACAACTATACTATAGTCCCCACAGAACCACATACACGTGCATTCTGTGTAGATCGTCTTGCGGTCACCCGCTATTGAAAGGAATAGAAATGCCATTATTACGGCCCCTTTTTCACCATTACCATGGTAGGCAATCTTCTAGAGAATTGCACACCAGCTCAACGTAATGATATGATGAGTTGGGCTGAGTTCGAAGACCCTGCTGGCGCTAGACAGGTTAACAGGTGAACGTAGCAGCAAGGGCAATACAGAGTCTTTTTATCCTTATATCCCGACACATCCGTAGTCAGGAGGACATACGTTACAGGAAAACTTTCATGATAAAAAGAGACGGGAGGAAGTGTAAGATGCCGGACTAGGTTATAACGTATAAGAATCCCATCGTAGCAGAAGACAATGAATCCAAAGCGGCGAGCAGGTGACTAAGCGAGCAAACCAGGAGGGTGAGAGAGAGAGCGAGTCCATAGACGAAGAGGCGTCTTCACCACCGCACCCCGTTTCGCTACTCTTCACTTGATCGCCTTTTCTGTGGGGAAAAGAGAAGATAGCGGAAATAGTTTTGCAGTTGACGAATACTCTTGCTACAAGAAGTTCGTCCACGGATTCATTCCTGCCTTCAGGCAGAAGGTGGGCAACTACGAGTCAGTCGACTAGGGGGGATCGACGAAAAAGCAGAACAGATTTAAAGGCCGGGAGGAGTGCCGCAGGGATCGGTCCCGATGAACGGAAAAGATGTTGAAGCAGACGCGAAAACTAGTAACGGAAAGATACTTTTCGAAGAAAAGACCCTTCCTTTATTCTCCCCTCCCATTCCCTCCCTTTTTCCTTTTCTCCTATATAGTATCGTTGCCTCCGTGTCCTCGTAAGCCATGAAACGGACAGAACGGTCATCGCTTTGTTCGAACAAACCATTTGAGGTCGATTTAGTTAGGTCAGGTTTTGGTACACTCGGTGCGGTCAAATTTGGCTTGAGCCTTTGTGATGTTCACAGATTTCCCTCGCCCCACATTTTTGGATTGATGGTACTAAGTTTCTTGTTACGTCGCGCGAAATCTTGCTAGTCAGTATTACTAGGTAGCGACCACCGATGGCACCTAAACAATGGCTCAATGACTAGACCTTGGGTCTACAAGATAACCCATCGTGACAAAGAAAAAACATTGGAGGAGAAAAAAGGGCTAGCAGGTTAGAAAAGGTCTTTTCTTTTGTTGTAAACTTTTTGCGGAAACGAACAAATAACGCGGTAGGTTGGATGAGAAACTGATTCACTTGTAGATAATCTGATAACTTGGCCATGGGTCTTAATTGGGTTAATTAACCAACAAATATATGAGGAAAGGAAAAAATTTGCTGAACGAAGTATAACCTTATACGTTTGCCAACACTGGTGTGTATCGTTCTGACAACTTACCTATTGTAGTGATGACTGTCAGTGAATAGAGGAAGGCGCTGCCTAATGACCACTGGGTGCCCTCTTTTCCTGCTTCTTTACCATCGTAGCCTTCCTTCACGTGACGCACCAGTTCAGCCGAGAAATTTCGCATCACTTGATTAACTGCCACTGTCCAGTTATCCTTAAAGAGGACATTGAGTTCCATCGTTATGCTCCAAAGGTGATCAATCGTTGTATCACGCAGATCCTGGACTTCTTGCGCTTTTTGATCCTCGTGATGTGCCTCAAGGTGGCGGAATACGAACGCGCCAAAGATGGCATAAGCCACAACTAGTGCGCACAGTCCTATATGGGAGAACATGAACGCTGTAAATCGCTTGCAGCATCCTGCCAGTGACGGATCTTTTGGTCGGCGGGGTCGCGACGGCGCTCGAGTGCGCCGGCTCGATGGTTTTCGTGTCGCCAAGGCCATGGTGCTGAGCGGTAGCTCTTGTGGTTTCTATGAGATAGCGGGACGTCGTGACGTGCGGTGCACGCACCCAACAAATGATAATGAGGGCCGATCTTACGGCGTCCTTAACGGTAAAGTGGATCGCGATGAACGACAAGCCTTAGCGAACGGGCTCGCCGGTCTGCAGGTTCAAAATCCTGGCGATGCTAGCCTGTTTGATATTCATTGGCCCCCTTTAGCGTGGCTATATTTGATGCTGCTTAAAAACCGACTCCCCACATTTCCATCGCTGTGAATTGAACACCGGAACCTGTCACAACTCGTAAGCTGGCTTGTTTCGCCATGCTATTGTGTGTCTTGAAACCACGTTTTCAAACAGCTGGTCGAGGTACCTTGCTGCGCACTGTTCTTTACTTCACAGTAGTACGCTGAAATCAGGCAGTCCACCTGGAGCTTGCCGCTTACCAGTTATTTTTCGTTTGTCTGCTTCCGTTCTTTTTTTAAATTCTTTCTATTGTCGGTCTCGTCGGACGAGCCATTCAAGTGTTCGCTAGTTGCCTAACTGCTGAACCCGCGGTACTCACAGTGGCGAAACCCGTTATGTTGCACCCGTTTTCCTTTCTTTAATTAGTTCACTTTTGATAGTAACTTAGATCAGTATCAGCAAAGATGCATTGGCTACCAGGATAAGACAAAATACATGTGTTCGTTAAGAGTGATATTCGTTCCCGTCGTTTGATGCCTCCCTTACGGTTAGTGTCTGTATAGGGAGCTTTTCTCGTTCATCTGGTGCAGTTCGGTATGCAGGACACTGACAACGATGACAGCAACGGGTTTATCTTTCGTTTCTGGCCGCCCTGCCGCTTTTTACCCTGACGATGACTATACGATCATTAGCAACTCATTCTGATTTCTTTAAAGGCTCCTCCAGAAACCCTCATCCACAACATCGCTGTCTGGACTAATTTTTTTCACGCCCTCTGCGGACCTCAGTTTTCTTGGTCGTGCCTGTATTCTCAAGTAGCTGCCTTAGGTAGTTCCTCTGTTCAATCCTTCTTTTGCTCTATAGTTTCCCGTCCTACTACAGATGAAAATTCACTGTCATTTCGGACCACTATCGTCGACTGAAGTAACGGAGGTTCTTACCGTTGATACTGAACCTGAATAAGTTGTTTGATTGCCCCGTTTGTCTAGCGAGCATATAGACGAAAATATGTTAAAAGAGTCGGTTGAAAATAGGAGCGAAACGAGGAGCTTTATGTAAAGCGTCGTCCGCACGAGAAAAGACCCCCACACTGGACCAGGCTCTCGCAAGCACTACATTCATATGTGCTCGCAAACCGAAGGTTTGTTTACTTACCGGCTTTCAGTATACAAAGCGAGAGCAGCTTCTTACCCACTTGCGGTTACCTATAGCACACGGGGAATACGTGTGCTTGTGTGCGTGAGCCCGTTCTACGGTAATTGTGTACACCAAAATACCGACCAAAGTGTAGAAAACTAAAAAAGGCTTACCTACACTTCACACAGTACTCTGGCTATCATGTTTTGCCATTTTCTCTAATTGCGAATAAGGCAACGACGCAATAACGAACAGGAACGTGATTTTGCTCTAGACAGGAGTTTCATTGGCCACGTGCTGTTTTAGGTTGGTCTTCTTTACCTCGCATTTCATGTGAGTTCAGGTGAGTTTGAAATGTTTTTGTTAGTGCGAGGGCTGACAAAAGACTGCTGTAATATTTATAACTTTTTGATTAATGTTAGCCGGAAACTAACGTATCGTGGACAGAGCCGTACCATCGACAGGTTTGCGGAAAAAAAGATGCTTAATGCTGATCCTCTCTTGCGAAGCATTCGTTGAGACGTCGAACTCATTCCAGTTTCAACGGACTGGGCTTCGAGCTGCTTGTCTTCAGCCCTCTTCGCCTACCGAAGTAATAGAAGTAAGCGGGGTGAAAAAAGCGAAAATCCCTTTTTTGTTCCTTGCCATCTACCGCGGTCGTTGCCGCCGCTTGCAGTTACGCCATCGACGCCAACGCCCTGATCGGTGTATTACGGCAAGAGAATCGAAAGACTCTTGCTTCTTCTTGTGCCCCTCTCGTGGTCTGTCGGCTTCTGCTAGGGGTCTTTGATCGGCCCTCGGTGCAACCACGACGATGAGGTGAGTCGCAAGCAGGAGACGAACCGTTAATGCAGCCCACGCACGGTTTTTGTTCGTGGATAGAAGGAAGTTCAGGGGAAGCAAAACGGGGTTATCGACGGTGCTATGTGCTGTAAGCTATGAGCAAAAGAAATGGCCTCGATGCTGGTGTCCGGCGTCAGGTTTGCTGGGTTTGTCAGCGTTTGTGCCCTGTGAAAAGGGCACCCGGTGGTTGAGGTTCGACGACCGTCTCCTCCCCCGGTAAAACTTCGTACCTTGCTTAGTTGCTACTTCTGCTTAGCTTGCACTAAATGTGCAATTTTGAATGGTATTTAGTTGCGGTAGAAAACGCGGGGAAGAGTTTAGAGAAGCTAGTAGAATTTGCATGGAAATATCATCGAAGCTTTGCCCCGACACAGCGTTCGGCTTATCGTGGCAGGCTTAGGGGCATTGGTTCCTCTTCTTCGTTCGTCTGGCTAACTCTACGTTACCCATGCTTGCTTCGCCCTAGCTGCATTCGACTCGAAGCAGGAATTGGAACACTATCAACTGTCGTTGAACTTTTTCCTTCACGTTCTTCTTAGGCGTGGCCTTTGCTTCGTCTCTTACTTAATGCTTCAGTCCTGAACTGGACCGTAGCGTTGACCAACTCGAGTCAAACAGATTAGTGCTACCTTTTTCATCTAAACTCTGTAGGTTTTACTTGTTTAGATCTTCCTTTGCTTTAATATCAGGCTTTTCATCGAACCATCACTGGCTAAGTTGCCCGTATGCGAGAAAAAGGAAAGGTCGGCAGGATGATGGCTTCCACGAACGTCCGCTGCCGGCTGGGGTGCCGCTCAGGCTGGCGTTTATTGCTGCCGGATGCTGCTATGGCTCCTGCCCTGCGATATTTCGATTAGGTGATATTTCATTAACGCCACTACTGCTACGGCAAAGACAAAATTCTAAACAGCTGCTGACTGTCCATTCACTCCTTAGTTGATTGCAGGGGATGGCGGTGCGGTGAGCTGAAATAGACGGGTGTGTGTCCAGGCTGTGTGCTGGGCAAAAGGAAGTTGGCTTCGTAGCCACTCTACAAAGGTGGTAAGTTACAGAGTTACCTCTTTGACTGAATCCTCGTCCTCATCAGTGTCGGCGTAAGGAATTCTTTACGGGGGAACTTGCTGCCGGTTGGCAAACCGGCCGTGTACTTTCGAACTTCCGGTGCTGTCGTGGCCGAATAAAAAATGCGAACCAAGATTCGCGCAAGACTCTTCTCTTTCAAGGAGGCGACTGCTCTACCTTGCGTACGTTTGACCACAAATTAGCAAAGAAATGTTTGCGTGTGCCGTTCCGGTGCAACGGCACGTTGTTCTCTACCAGTCCTCCACCAATCGGCTCGAGGTGGCAGTAATTCGTCGTGGCCTTCGGGCTGGAACACGCGTGTCAATTCCCGATACCTTTTCTTTCCTGGTCCCCTCTTATTCTCTTCTATTTCTGTGTGTGGACCTCCGATAGCCCTTTCTCTAATTGCAGCGTTATTCTCTGTTTTCTAACTGTTTCATGAGCTTCTAACCTTTGGAGTTTCTTTTTTAGCGGCCTTTGCCTGCCGTGTGTTACCGGCAGTGTAGTGAAGTGCACTATTAACGTTGCTGTCGTCACCGTTGTTCACAAGAATGTCATCTTCCAATGATTTATGGACGGTCGCCGAAGGCCAAATCACATAGTTTATGTTCCACAACCTACACGAGTGCTAGCGCAAGAAGATATTTTCACTGAGCCGTCCTGAGGCCTCATATCCTCCGGTCTCTAAGACGTCCCTGGCTCATGAGCAAACGATATGTTCGGTTATGTGGGAGTGTGGCGACGCGGCCTGAATCGTGTGCCAGGGTTCTGTCGCTGCCCAGAACCAATATTTGGTCGACACAGCCTCAAGACCTATCTTTTTGATGTTTCCACAGGCCTTGATCTATCAGGACTCAGGCGAAGGACGCACGCGTTCAATGATAATACCACTGAGATATTTCGAGCCAACGGTTCGAAAATCGGAGGGTGAAAGATTTTAAGGAAAGATCTTACAAAGTATTCGACAATATGCTTTTCGCGGGAGCAAAAGGCCCAAATCAGTTCCTATATCTGACAGCTCTACTTAAATTTCATAGGCATTTTCCTTCGTTGGCAAAATCATGCACTCGTATCGTGCGGACCCTTTGGAACCATCACCATAGAAATTAACATCAGGATTGCCTCCGCTCCTGATGCTACCAGTGAACATTAATTTGGCCTCTCGCTAGTGCGTCCTTCGCTGCGTGCGCTTCACTGATCAAATTCTGCCTTATGACTTGCCGCAGTCGGAGCGCCCTTCCAAGGTCCTGCAATTTTCGATGCGCTTAGATATGCTCCGATGTCACGGCAAAGGCAAGACTTGCATTTTCGATCACACTCGGGTCTGCCAGAGTCCACAACTAGTCTAACATCAACTACATTCTCGAATAGAACAGGAGGCAAATGGACTCCAATCAATCTACAAACATTGATGATTGGGTCGCCTGCGCTATGCCGTATGTTGTGCCTGCCTAATCGACATTTGAAGCAGTGTAACGCTCGTTGCAGCCGAGTCACTTGTGAATTCGAATCGCTATGGTCGTTGTAGGTTGATAATACTTTCAAGTGCTTGTTGTTTAGCTGAGGTCGCTCGTAGGTATTACTCTTAAAGACGGGTACATGGGTAACAAATGTCTCTCAATAACAAATAGATAATGGATGCTGTTGAGAACAGTAAAAGTTCATAAGCGTTCAACGATACATAGATGTAAACAAAGAGTGAAAGCCATCGTTTACTGTTAAATGAACCTATACCATAGAAGTTCCGGTTTCATATGTAGAGAGGCTGTAACCATCGCCTTGATGGCGTCCATAACTGAAAATAGTATAAAAATATATTCTGGCATTATTCATATGAGTTAGGGAGCAATTTGTTGATTTTGCTTTTGATACGGTCGTCGCTGAACATCGAGCTGGTAGTTTTACAACTTTTATTATCACGTCGGAATTTCTTGTTCAGAATGTTTGGTCTGCCTTGTGAATCAGCGAGCAGTAAATCACGCTTCGTAACTCCACGGTAATGCAATATCTAAATAATCTTCGGGCGTATGATGCCTCGTCTCGAACCGGGTATTATTCAGCAAAATGTTTCACCTTGCCGCTCACAAATACACAGACACTCATATCTCTCGACAAGGTTTGCATAGGTTCCACTATTGTTTTTTCTCCTTACAGTATCGACAAATAACCGCAATAGCAACGCAACACTTGTTGATGCACAACAAGCACGTAACGTTATTCGAATCAAAGATATATCCACGATGGGAACAAAAAAGGAACTTTGAGCCACTTTTTTTCTACTTTTCCTTAGCGTTCCTCTTTGAACAAACATATAGCAACAGTCGAACACTGATCATCCACTAGTCTTGTTTGCCATTTGGCACTGGCCCATTTCACAATCGCGTATACATCACAAAAGTCTTATCTCTGAAAAGCATTCGTCTGATATCCAAAAGAGTAGGCCCATACGATTTCCCTTCTGGGGCGGTATAATCCTCAATGATTTCTCGCTACCTTTTTTCGTCGTTATTCGCGCTGTCTGGGCCCGCCTGGCTTACCGCTAATACACTTACATATATACATATATATATATATGTTCATATATATATACACATACATACAATCACATGAACTATTTAAACGTGACCACTTTAACAAAAACAACGAGAGTTGTAGTAGTAGTTAAGATGAAAGAGCTCGCTGGCAGGCACGTCCCGCTTTGAGCGTAACAGACCCAAAAAGAGAACACTCTTACCCACACCGACGATGCTGTTTTTTCCGACGACTGTCTGAAGGTGCGAGTTGAATCGGACAAGAACTTTAAGCTTACTCTATTCGCGTCTATACCGAACGTATAAATTCAGTTTTACTTGCTTTAGTCGCTTGCTGTTTTACTTACTTCCTTATTTGAGTATCTTGCCGACATTAGATGTTGACTCACTAGTGATTTATTCGAAGCACCGTCGCTCAATGTGCCACTGCCTCTTGTTATCAATTCGCTTGCCATGAGCTCGGCTGGGCATTCGCGTCTGCTGTATCCTGCAAATCAGGCCGGGCAAACAGTCTCTGTCTGACTACTTTCGCTCACTAAAAGAAGAACATTTCGCTTGTTCCGACCCAGCTTAGTCGAATCGGTGATGCTGCCAAAACGAAACCTTTGTGTTGCGCGATTAGTTAGCGGTAGGTTACTGTTTGTTGGTAATGGTGGGCAATGCTTCCTCAACGGCGCACAGTCGGGCCACGGTCCACCGTCCACGCGCGCTCGCCACACAGGCTGTCCCGTGTAGGCGCTGATTCCATTCTGACCATGGAGATCGGACGGGTCAGAGAATAGACGGCGCTGCAGGCGCCGTATAGGTGAGGACTGCCCGACCGCGACGAAAGAAAGGGCAAAGCAAAGGCGACCTCTAGAACACGAGGGGCTGCTCTTTCAGTGGGGAAGAGGAAATAGCTGCTGTGGCGGCCGTGAACGACGCGGGCCTTTAAAGGAGCTGCGATTCGGCTTCCGGAAGGGGACAAGCCAGCTGAATAGCTCGCTGGCGAGCTAGCGAATCGACAGGCAACTCGGAGACGAGAAGGGACATCAGTAGATGAGCCGTCAAATCATGCTGGGTTTCTCTAGCTTTACTGCATCTAGTCTATCTACAGGTTAGATTTTTGAACCTAAACGGCTGTTGACTAAATCAGCCAGTACGTCGCAGCATCTTCGCGGTGACCGAACCAGACTAAGTCCAGCCTTAGTTGAGACAAATGGAAATGATGATGGCCTGTCTGGAAAAAATAAAAAGAAAGAGGTGTGGCAAAGATGATAGCGAGCTTTGCCGTTCGTTCGGAAAGTGAGAATTAGGGGACTTCAACTTGGAGAAGGAAACAGACTCACTTTGATGCTTCAGTAAACACCCGTGGATCGATCGGTGACCACTTTTCTTTGCTTTTTTTTTTTTTACTTGTTCGTCGATTTCTTCTTTTGCCTCGCTTTATATTTATATATATAGTTATGCCCAACACTGTGCGATAATCAATATTTATGGTAATAATAATTGCTGTCAATTGTTGTATGTTAATAATAGTTTTGGCTGTAACTTTTGTAGCGTCGTTAGCAAAGTTAGCGTCAACTTTTATAGCTATCTTCAACTAGGGGTAGGTTTGTGTAGTGCATGCATCAATTCGATTAAAGGTCGAAATAGGTGACACGTTTTATTTTTAAGTCAAATTAACAGGTAAAATGAAGTTTCTCTACTTTTCTTACGTGTTTTGTGTATGCGTACCTGCTTGCTTGTCCTAATCGCTTTACTGCCTGTGACCAGGCATTGTTATTTCAAAAGCTACCCTATTTCAAACTACCACCATAGAGTACCACGATGTCAAGCTCGGTGTTACAAACGGATGGGTCATTACGGCAAATACTGCAATTTCCTCACGCAGCGTCACATCGGACTCCTTTAAAACTTTCTTTTTTCTCTATATTTCAGTCGATGTCAGGTATGTGCACCAATGCATGTTGGTAACGGATCAAACGTGCTAACTAACGTTTCTTGCACTTAGTTGACATCAGTGATGGTGCGTAACAAAAGGTTTAGCAGACGAAATAATCGTTTGATTTAAGTATAAACAGCTTTAAAATATACAATTTTTTTGTCAAATTGCTATGTATTCTAGGAAATAACAATTTTGGGAGTAAGTATATAATACGTGTGACTAAAAAACAATGCTTAGAAGCAAAATAAGTGAAAATAAATATGTGGACATCATTCTATCTTGGACGAAACAGAAGTTTCAGGGCAGAATTACGTATTAGGCTATGTACATACAAAACGGAATTTGCTCACTCAGTAGTGAGTTCTCGGTTTCATCCGACCGAAGACTATGACAGGGTATGGAATCGACTCCAGTTGATTTGTCTGAAAGCTTGCCCGCGGAAGGTGTTTAGCGTACGAGATACAAGCACACGCACACACAGAGTTTCAGTCGTATATAGATAGATATCTAGGACAACGCTAAGACGCTTCAACGCGTAAGAACTCGAAATATCTATTCATTAGGTAAATACATTCCCTACTTCATATATATGAAGATCCAAAAAAGCCGTTGCACATAAACATAATACGTTTATACCATAGCAACTGAATAGGTTTCATAAATGTTTGGATAGACCTAACTACTAGGTCCGATCACGAACGAAGTAAAAGATAATCAGGAAACATTTTATGGCTACATTTAAACAGCTTTGCCAGTATAGTATTTATGTCGCATTATTTAATACTGTCAAAGCTGTATCGGCGACCTCTTAACTTTATTAATAAATTAAAAAAACTTTTCATTTCTTGGTTCAATTCCAATTGGCATTTGTGCAGTTTGTCACAGCTGTCATTTTAGAAAGGTGCAGAGTCATAACAATACCGTTCTTCATTAATTTGCACAGTTAAAACCGTATCGCTCTGTATTTTCCTTGCGAACACCTTATGACTTCCATCCCCCCAGGCTTTACCCTACTCGAGCTAATTGATGATTGACAGACAGAGACTTTTTCCTTATTATCCCAATGTGTGAAAGCGACCTACAATCGTTTTCCTAAGATTTTTCGATACGGCGTGAAGTGTGATAATGACAGCAGAAAAACATGCGTGGAGATCCGAACTAAGTTATATACTGTTGTGGTTTATATTTCCCTAGCTGTTTTAATTCATTGGGTGGTTTGTGCTTGATTACATTTTTTTTTTTCTATTAATTACATCTTATTTTATTTCAAGCCTATGTCTTCTTAAATAAAAGGAAAGCATTTTTTTCGGAAAATATATTTTAGTCTGTCTAAGACGAGAATCTTCACTTTGTGAAAGCTGTGCAGATTCCGATGAATTAGAAACGACTTCACATTGGAATGATTTGCAACTTTGAAGCAATACCGAGACGATCACTGCATACGCGACGACTCATCCCCAATCTGCACTACGTGTTGTACTAAAAAAAAGTACTCACAAATGTTTACAATATCTTCAGCTAGAAGGGTGCAGCCTAGAGTTTCGGATGAAATCTTAGTGGTTTACAAAGAATAAACAAAGCAACATTCATACAAAGTGTGTCTGGTTCCTGAAGCGACATCACAAACCGTCCAAGGAACGATCTGCGTTGATATGGGTCCGCTTTTGGTAATTTAAATAATACAAATAGATAGAGAGTGAACGTTTAGAGCCAAAAGTCTCGTCTACTCTGCAAAATCGTGCTTTCCCTATATTGGAACTTCGTCGAGCTGGCTTTGAATTTGATTAGCTTAGATAATTGATAGATATAAAGTAAGATTTATTGCTTAAATAAAAGGCTTTTGCAATTCGAAAGATTCAATAGATACATTCAAATAAATTTAAAAAAAAACCTATTAAAAAATCGGCATCAACTGATCGTCGCCAAGATTTACCAGGAGCTCGTTTGTGTGTTGTAATGTATTAATGACAGATATTAACTCTCATCTAGTAGGTACAGATGGGCGTAAACAATAAAACATTCTTGCACATATACTTACTTTTTAAGAAATAGAGCTCACTGTCTAAACGTATTCGGCAAGACATATACGTGGACATTTAAGGGACCAGCGCACAGTGTTTTACTCTCCAGACTTTGAAGTTCTCCAAATAGCGATTGGGAAAAAAAGATCGTTCTAATTTGAGGCGAAAACTCGCTTTGATGTCCAATTCAAAATATGACTTCATGTAACTTAGCAAAATGACTGCGACTGGTCGAGTGAATGGCTGATCGACGTTTAAACTGCAGGTCCTTAATTTCTGCCATAGGCCTGACTGCTACCAGTTGGACACTCGACGAGCCCGAACCGTATTCAGTCCGGTAGTGACTTCAGTATGGTAGTGACTTCAGTATGGTAGTGACTTCAGTATGGTAGTGACTTCAGTATGGTAGTGACTTCAGTTCGTTGAATAAAAAAAATCTGCAATCAATTTGAGGAACCCGAACGCATTCATCACTCATGCGATATTATTAGAACGAAGACGCATAATGTTTACTGAGGCAATTACTATTGTAATAAATACATTTGTATACACCTTATATCGTGGGTGTCGAATATTTGAAAATTACATCGTTCGCATATAGTTTATTACAACTGAAGCTTCAGAATTACGGCTAACGTTGGCACTCCTTTACGGACCTATATTTTTCTATTTTGTCAAGTTTCCTATACTCGATTCTGTGTACACCGTAGGTGGAGCTTCTTTTGAGGAAGTAAGAAGTGATGAGCCGAATTTATCTTAGCATCACTGCTCTACAGCCTTTTTCGTTAGTGCACTTATTTTTTATTATGAACCCGAAAAGCAACAGTAGTGCCGATGCAAAAAGCCAGCTCGCGTTCTCTGTATCATGTTTACTATAGGATAGAAGCAAATGAGGTAGTCTGTGTCCTCGGGCGTTGTCTATTTTTACGTCGGCGGCCCGTTGGCGACTTGGATTGGCTTTTCCAACTTCAACCCGAAGACCATCGGTGGTGATGGTAGTTGAGAACGCAAGAAACAAAAAGCTATTCAAAGAAAAATAATTTTTAGGCCTCAGCATCGTGCCTGACTGTTGATCTCTTTTCTCACGCCTCGCGACCTGATGCGTCATGGTTAACACCACCGAAAAGCACATGACTACTATTCTGGCCGACAAGATAATACTGCAACGCGTCTATGCTGTCACGGTTGTAGCTACTCAGCTGGTCTGTTCTGGGCCCCCTTCAAAAGGCGTCCGTTGCAGGCAGTGACTTTCTCCGATTTCTATTGTTAGCTTTTTCAGTATCTTTTTAGTCTTCATTCTCAATTTTACAAAGTGTGGGACTAATCCAATATCCGATACCACATCGCAACAGCCAAAGTCTATACGGTGCGGACACGCTTGTTTACTGTATATATCAGCTTCTGAATCGCCGTGCTCTACTCTGTCCAACTAGGCAGCATTTCTAGGTGCTGTCTTTCTTCCCCTCTTTATTTCGGCTGCAGTTTTTATTACGCACAAATTAAGTGCAGTCTCTGGTCTTCTTCCACCTAGACCTTCACCGCCATCACTAGCTCGATATTTCTTCTATTCGCTCACACTTTGAAACAAGCTGACATTTTGTACGGCGACTCTCGTTCAAATCGTTGTCCACTTACTTTACCTAGTCATGGTGAATTTCTTTACATCTGTAACTCTAGTTTCCATTTTTCAAGATATTGTCTGAGCAAATCAGTTTTCTATTACATTTCTCTCTGTC